TAATTTATTAATAACACGATGGGCGATGCATTAAATGAACGATGTGGCCAACGTATAGATTTTTAATTATATTTTGATTAAAATAATATTTGGGACGATGATTTTTACGTCTGGCACTTGTATTTTTCAGTCAAATCTGTAATCCTGATGATCATCATAATGTRCATTGCAGTGCAATGTGCGCGTGAGCGTKCATGCGTGTTAGTTTTAAMTACACAAACGCAAGAATAAAAAAATACGATACGTTTAATAATAATTGGTCAACATTGCAGGCTCACACTTATCGGTTACATAGTCATATGTTTCGTGACAAGACGGTTAAATAATTGATTTTACTAATATAATTGTATATACCTCGCACGGCACCGAATTCATATTGTTGTGTTTATACTTGTTAACTATATTGAACAGACAAATARACGATATAATAGTACCGTAGAAACTCGTCCTTCTAATTTGCGTATAGATTACCTTATACCGCATTACCACCTATATTTTCACTCTAATATCATAGGTGTAATCTTAGGGGCAAGCGAGAAACTGTCCCTCAGATACGAGTATTTAACTCAAAAGTGTCATTTTACCATAWACCTATATTTTAAGTTTTATCACAGACTGTCCYTACCAAGGTTAGGTAAACATAATACCTATATATAGTATAATATACGATAGATTTATTTACTTTAAATAATATATTTGTATAGGTATAATTATAGCCATATGAACACACCAAACGCATAGGTTTTATTATTGTTGGTATAGAAATTAGAAACTACTATTCATGYTTTATGTAATATGTACCTACGTATATATCCTTTGAACTYTGAAGTCGTTATTAAAATTTTGATGCGTTACATTTTAAGTTTTAATATATCTACTTGACGCTCGACTGGGAATGCAATAAACGCCTCATCGTTTATAATAGCACCATAAAATGTACGTATAATACGGATTATTAGGTGAAATCCTTATTCAAATTTGTATTCGATGGGTCATTAACAACTTATGTGCAGTTTTTTTATCGATGAATAAATTAATTGTAGGTGCAATAAAAATTATATGACGTCTATGMAAGATACTATATTATTATTGTTAAATCCGCATTTTCAAACAACTATATTATAATTATATGATAAATAAAACCAAAAATTCTTTATTAATGTATTAATTATTACAACTGTAATAATAATTACCAACAAGTCCGAGTAGAGTTTGTTGGAATGATGGTTTTAGGTAATTGTGCTAACTTTGTGGTGCCAGCTTCACGTAGGCATAAAAAACATCAATCGAATTATCTTAAGTCTGAAGTGTTATGCGTGTTAAATATCAATAGCCAAAAAATAAAATATGTGTAGAAAATAGACATAATACGAGTACATATTATTGTATAGGTAGCTATTATTCAGAGACAGTCGGTATAATACATTATCAATTCAAAAAATAATTTGCCTCTACTAGTTTGAGAGAGAGATAGATTCCGTTGAACTGTAGGTGTATAGGTATAAATGTTATCGCTGTCAGTAAAAAAAATCTATTTTAAGACTTTAGGTACTACCATCTATATTGATATAACGAAGAGGTAAAGTTTGTTAGTTTTTGAGTTTATTCGTACTATTTTTAGGAAATAATATTTGGAACTAATGAACCGATTTCAAAAGTTCTTGAAAGCTGCATTATTTCTGAGCAATATAGGTTACTATTAAGTATATTTAACTTAACACAATTTTGTTTTAARCAATTATTAATCGAAACTACGTCTGATATTTAGGACTTTATAGGTATAGATTGACACTGCACTGAAGACTGAATAAAACGATTTGTAAGCTGTGATTGAAGTTATTTGGATAACTTCCAATTATCCGAAATACTGTTTACTATTATAATAGGCGTGTTTGTGTAACAGATGATTGACATATCGACTGGATGTGGCTAAAAAATGTATAGTGTGTAAGAAGCCTTACAGACCAGACAAAGTTAATCAGTGTTATAGGTACTGGAGTTCACACGGTCAACGCGTTCCAAGGCAATAGTTGGAAAACTCATAAAAAATATTATGATCTTTTCTTTTTGGAACGCGCTCTAGTGATACCTCACTCCGGAAACACTCGAACCATTAAATAACTAATAAGGGTCATTTCGACTTTCGAGACACATTCGGGAAACTCTCTCAAAGGGCAAACCATAGAAATTTCAGCGGACGCATAATCAACGTTACCTTCGTTATATTATACTCTTGTCAAGACAAAAAAGTCGAATACTCACCAGAATTACTAATTTTACCATACATTTTTTAATCAGCTCTACAGTTGTACCTAACCTAAACCTACCAWATATTTTGTATCGTTTAATAATAATGTACGGAACTATATACCAGTATATGGTATGTATACTGYAGGAAGCAGGACTACCATACAGATTTTGTATTAACYTTTTGCAAGGCAAATGCAAAAACGCAGTGGCTCACCCTCCATATTGTCAATACAGAAATAACGATTTCAAAAACAATTTGTGAATTAAGAAATGTTTATCTTAATATGTTTCTTTTTTTTATGTGCCTTAAATAATTTCTGTCTGTCATATGACATTGAGATTTTGACAAAATGTTTAAAAAAAGAAATAACGGTAGAGATTTGAAATTTTCAGAAAATATTTATAAAAGTAAATATTAGTTTAGAGGTTATATATAATGTTAGTTATTTTTGAGATTTGATAACTAATAAAGACATTTTAGTATTTTACTCTTACTATTTTTCCGATTTATATTAATTAAGTTTTTGTTTCTCCTCGGTCAAAAAGTTAGAGAATATAATAATACAAGAGACCCCGTAAGTTTTTCTTATACCAATTTAAAAAAGTAAACGTGGCTCTGCTATACAGTATAGATTACAAGTGAGTTACTGTAATGGATGTAATGGATGATATTAAATTTGAATTCAATAATATAATATCATTGTATATGAAAGACGATTCTGAGCGGAAACGGTTTGTCAGACTAGAATATTTCATAGTTTTATACTATATTAATTTTATTGCTATTATTTAAAAAAAAAAAAAGGTAGGTACCTATAAAATAAATTCCAAATTAATCAAATCACATTAATTATGTATCCGACTCACTCAGTCCATTCATAGTAGGTATATACAATTATTATAAAGTATTAATATAATTCATTAATGGCATAACCTATTACAATTATAGAATATAAAGTATACTCTATAGACATTTTAAGTACCCACGAATAATATTTTTAAATTACAATAATATAGTTAAAATGGTTATTCTTGGTTATTTATGTAATTTCATATTTTCATCCAAATTTGAACTTAAAATAACTATAAAAAAAAAACTGTGATTGTATAGTTTTTTTGCCACAGAATTAACTACTTAGAATCTTTTTTTTTTAATTTTCTATATTTAGCTATAAAAGTTAAAAGTTTTACAAATTTTTAACAGCCAAAGAATTCGTAAAATTTCAATTAAACAAATTTTATCAAAATTTGAACTTTAAATGGTTATCAACAAAATAAAAACGTGACAATAGATTTTTAA